CAGTAAATTACAAAATTCTCAGCTTGATCCTTATATTATTATATTATATATAACTTAAAGGCTTACAAAGAATGTATTTATTAAAATTATTTTAGTGTCAAATTAAGAAAAAAAACATTGGAAATATATAGGTATTGATTTTCTCTTATCTATATATATATATATATATATATATATACTAAATGCTCCTTAATTTTAGCAAAACATAAAGAACTATTAACTTTTAACACAACAGATGTAGATTTACATAAAATAAATGAATGTTTTCAGTAGAGGTTGTGCCCTGGTGCTGTGAATCAACTGGTTGTGTTTAATTTGCAGACATATTCTGTCCGGGGGCAGACAGAGTGTATAATCTCACGCACGGAGACAAGTACCATATGATGTTGGCATTTTCGCTTTTTTTCACGACCTGCAGCCTGGTAGCTTGCCTCATGCTCGGAGTTGGTATGTATTACTTTTACATCCAACCAAGGTGTAACAAATATGTACATAGGGTGGAGACTTGGTGGTAAGATGAGGTGATTGTTGTGTTGATGATGCGCAGCGTTGCTGTCTGACCAGTGGTACGAGATGATGCAACGGGCGATGTTCACGCACTCTACGGTCTACCTCGTCACCGTCATCATCGACATCACCATAGCCGCACACTTCGCCAGCGACTACATCACGCTCACCGAAGAACTAGTCAGTTGTAACTGCCAACTTCCACCATACCATACCACACCACACCACACCTCAACACACGCCATATCTGATTGGAGCAGCATGGAATTAAATTTGGATTTAAATAATGTTGAATTTGCAAGTAACCAAGTCTCCTTATGCTCTGGAATAACTACATATTATACACATTTAAGATACGTTATCCATATTAACAAGAGCCCGTCACATCGTAATGGTCACTGAAACTTAGTGTACATTATAAGAAAATAATATAAGAAATCTTTACAAAGTGATCATTATACCGTGTTATTGTTGTTCCCTGGCACTGTACCAATGCAGCAGATACATAAATACAGAACATTCCTTTGCAGGACCGGTTAAAGTTCGGCCGCGACGCCAACTACACGATGGACCTAATGCGCGTCGGCACACTCATAATGATATTCGTGTCGCTGAAGGGCATCCTCATCCATGTCGTGAACCTGGCCCTGATCCTGATCAGTCTTATGACGATGCCGGGGTACGTGCGCCGCCAGAAGAACCGCAATAAGAGCCCCCAGGTGTGTAACCCCGGCTAACATTTATATGCCAACATAACTCTATGCCTCACATGGAATATACATATACTATTTGAACATTATATACATACTATGTTTTTATTGTATAAGGTTTTTATGTTTTCCCACTGACTTGATTATAAATTCGCTCCACAATATGATAATAGATTGTGGTAAGTTACGCTATATAGGAATTGTACCAATAACCCGCAAAGTGGTTGGTTGCAACACACAATATGTATTTGTTTGTGTGTGCGTGTGTGTGTGTGTGGATGTACTGCGAGATGCTTCACGCTTCTTCCACGCAACGGTGTTGTTGTTTCCAGTGGTGTGACTCTCGTGCACAAATCAGGCGATGTGTTGGCTGAACAGCTTCGACCGCTTCTATTTTCGGATAATACACAACGACTTCCTCTCGAACGACTGACTGACTGCTGCGTTTTGCTGCGGATTTCTAAATAGTAGTATTAACTACTAAAAGTTGTCATGACTAATTAATTCCTTTACACTTTACCTAAATATGTACGTGTATGCATTACGCAACAATATCTACTCTACACTATCTTTAGTTAACAATAACCGGGCCGCAATACAACATATAAACTCCACCTCAAATTTGATGGATTTTGTTTAACTCCCCCTTTCACGTATTCGTTGTACCGGTATGCGGCGCTTAGTGCTGTACATGCGACAATCACTCCACAATTCACTACAATTACCCACTATCCACTAGACAGATAATATTTTCTCAATAAAAAATGACCAAACAATTGCACTATGGTATGTATATCAGAGGTGGTCGTATCATCTCACACTTTCTTCAAATGCTCATACATTGGTTCTGCGGCGCGCAACGGTAGATCTGCGAGTTACCGCTGATGCGCGTGTGCGCCTCAGCCCTCGCCCTGCGAGCCATCAGAACACAAGGTGCGTCGGACCTCGTGCCGCGCCCACCTCTGCCACACATAGACTCTGTCGACGACCTGCCACGATTACGCCGCCTTCAATCGACGCGCGCAAGGAGGACAAGAGACGCACAGCCCCTCGCTACGGTAGACAGCCCCCTGCGGCGCGTGCGCTTCGAGGAGTCCCCATCACCGTCGCCGCCGCCGCCGCCGCCTCCGCCGCGCTCTCATCTCCGCTCGCCTCGCTGCACATGCTTAGGCCAGGACGCACCGCCCCCGACAACCCCCACCCACGGCACCACCTTTACCACCACCGCTGTGGTAGAGGCTGTTTCCAGGCGGTCCAGATCTCCGAATAAATCCGGCTCCAATGAAAGGTGCACTTTTTCAATACTACGTAATACAATGTATTATAGAAGTAAGCAAGTTTCTTGATAGCAAAAAACATTTGTGAATGTGTAAGATACATTATTATTGTTTACTATTATCTAATATTGTCTCTTTTATTTCCTTTACAGCACTGGATACGCAACCACGGAGCTATAAACGCCTTCGCGGAACTTGTATAATACAGCTGAATATTCTTCATTGCTTTCAACTTTAACTTGCTTATTTATCTATCGCGTTATTATTTGCCTTTTAATTAACATAATAAGTAAATTAAATAAGTACATGCATGTACGCTATGGTATGTACAACTTCAGGTAGTGCTCCGAGCCTTATATAGATAGCTACGCAAGTAGTTAGTCCCTTCTATTGCAGTTTTATCTATATGAATTGTGTGCCAAACACATAACGAAACTAATAAAAAATATAAGTAGTCAGTGGAATTTAAGAACTTACTAAATCATTACATCAGAACATAACTTACCTTTACAAAACCGGCACTGACTGACTGACTGACTCACCGACTGACTAAGTGCAATACATAAAGACAGACTAAAGCTATCTAAAGATACATTTGAAACAGACTTTATAAAATGTAATCAGAACGATATGTATATGTAAATCTTGTAATGTTGGTGACATTCATCTAGTCGTTAATTTTGTTTTCTTTACATTATGTAAATTAAAAAATAAATGTTTCTATGCAACACTATGCAAAACTAGCAAGCAAGAATTTCTCTTAGTAGTTATAAACTTAGTATAGTTAGAAACGGTTAAATAATTAATTAATTAGGTAAGCGTGTGAGTAGCTTAAATCGCTAAAATAAAGCTTTAGCACATAAAATACGCGACTTCAATGTCGTCAAGAGTCGCCCAAGCGGATCTGGAAAAAGGTTAGTAAGTTAAAGGGATAATATATTTTTTTATAACAACTCTAATAAAGTATATATACTATAATGATATATATATATATATTTATGTTCTGTGATTTTCATCATTTATGGAAGTTGTATATGTTCCTCCTTGTTTATCATTTGTAGGTATATACAAAATATAAACATCTTATATGATTGTAATAAAAATATAGATTTGAAGAGTGACATGAAATTGTTGCAGAAACTGTCGCATTTCCCCACGATCCGGATGCAGCTGCACGTGATGGGTTATTGAACACCTCGAGGTAACATCATCCTACAATTCACTACAATAATCCACTTCCTTTTCCTATTCTTTTCTTATGCGGAAGAGGTGGGAAGGTGAGCAAAACTAAAACGAGGCCCCCGACTCGCACACTCATGAGAGGAAAAAGGCGTGCCTCCTCTGTGGTGATGATATTTGACAGGTGGCCCCGGACATTCGTGCACAACATATTGTTGCAAGCTCTGACACTGTTCAAAGTTCTACATTCGTGTCACGAGATTGTTATTTAATTTAATGCAAGTTATTTGTAATTCCAGATGGCAACAGAGAACGCCACAATCAACGACCCTGGCTCAACGGACTCAACGACAATTATTTAGTTTTAGTATTCGTAGACACGACACGAAGATGTCTTCTACTTCTATGATAATATTATATAACTTCTCTAAACTGAATCTTGTACTGTACTGTAATGTTAAATGATATATATACAACAAAGTACGAGTAGCAAATGCACATGCCTTGACTAAGATCAACTTAAATATCATAATAATGATACATCATTATTTAGCTTTTAATTATATATATATAGTAGATGTGAGCAAATTATACGTGTGTTTCATTTTGGCTTTCCTTTTGCTGGCTACGGTGACGTGGCGAATAGCTACAAACATATGTACTTGTAAATATATAACATCTAGTTATAGAGAAAACATCAACAACACACTGGACACTTGGGACAACTATCAAAGTAGCGCTGCGCTGTACGTGTTTTACAAAACAGTCAAAACTAAATGTACGGTAATCACTTTAAACAAATGGTAAAATACAATATTTGGATATAACATTAATACAGGTGATACAAACATACAAATTTGTAACTACAGACAGACAGACAGACAGGCAGACATACTGCTGACACATATGCCGTTACTTTCTTACATTAAAATCTCTGTTATTATCTTTGACAAAACAGATATAATAATATATTTTAAACAGGGGATTTTAATGACCGTTGAGAGGCGTTGCTATCCCGTTTGCTTCTGTCAGAATATATTTAAAACATAATAAATGACATAAAGGAAAAATACACATGTCATGTACATGACGGCTCTGTGTGTTGTACAAACAAACAAACAAACAGGATCTTGTTGACAGGAGGGCAATAGTGAGCTGTCATAATTTAGTTAAACTGATGGCCACCTGTTCAGATAACCTTGTTGTCCATAGAACCAGCGGAAATAAGTAGTTCATGACTTCCCGTCTTTATATGTTGGCTGTTAGAGAGTAGAGATGAATAGGTAGTGCGCGTTACTTAAGGCTATTATTGGCAAAGTATAAATTCATTGGGTTCATTAAAATACTTTTAAATGAAAAGAAAAGAAATGAAGAAATCTAATTCATCGTACAAATAAAGGAAATAAGTAAGAAATGAAAGAAATACAGTTTGTCAGAAGTGCTGTCCGGAGGTGTGGTCGTGGCCAGCCAGATAGCGCATCCGCTGCTGCAAACTCGCCCTCACGCTTTCTATTAAAGTCACCTTCCTCCGCGAACTTTTTGTTTCCTGTTAATTATACCAAATAATGATCCCATAAAGTTAAGGTTACAATAAGATAAGCGTTTGTTAAAGTTTTATATACGGAGTGGGCAAAACGTGGGTACGGTTTTGTTTCATTGATCATTAAAGTGTTCCTTTTTCAAGGCAATATCCCACATCGAGTTTCCTGAAAATTCTTTCACTTACATATCCTATGGTAAAGTTTCCTATCTCTATGTTGGCATGAGTCAGCATTTCCAGCTCAAAGCGAATGACAAAATAGTTAATAATGATACAATCGAGTTTCCTATCTCTATGTCATACACAAAATGAAATAATATTCCCAATATACCATAGGGTATACAGTTGCCTTAAAACTTCAAAATCTGCGACAAAACGGCTATTCAGGAAAGTATATTAGGGTGGGTTGTGATCACCAGCGCTTCTTGCAACTTCAAACAGTTCTTGCATTTAACAATGTTTGTTGATGTTCACATATTGCATGCAATTACCTCAAGCTTCGCAGATGCCCTGGCATGTTCTTCTATTGTGACCATCTTAGAGGTCGAGGGCCGCATCCCGGCGCCGGCTACCACGTCCTCTTCGTCGTTCTCACACGATGTATCCGAGAACACCTCCATATTGTAAAATACATTAAAATTTTCAGTGTTATTGAATTCAATATTTCAAAATATTTCGCATAACGAGCACTTTGATAAAAACAAAACGGCATGACATCAGTCGGAAAATCATCATTAAAATTAATAAAACCTACCGGTATAATGGAATACTTTCTGATAGATTCTGCGGGAACATCGATACATGTGGGCGGTATGTGAACTGTGGCGATGCAGAGGCGGTTGTCCTCGTTGGCGTTGAAGATGAAGAAAGAGGCAGCGGGAGGTGGCAGGCAGCGGCGCAGCGCGCGGCCCGCTACCAGCAAAGCGCACAGCAGCGCACACACCAAGGCCGCCACCGGCGCCGCGGCCAGCCGCTCCGCCGGCAGCCCGCATTGCGCACGCCTCTCATCGAACCTGCACATTCCATACACCATATATAGGCTACATTTCTTTTCAATTTCGCGCCGACGGACCGCTTCGCTGACGACCGCTATTCTATAAAAATGGTTAAAGTTAATAAAATTGACACCGAAGATTGCGCGACATTTATAATCGGAATTTAAATAAAAGAATTTGTAGAGAGAGTGAGCAAGTATAGGACCAGTCGGCGAGGCCGCAGTTGTTGACGCCGTCGCAGACCACGCCGCTGGTGAAGCAGTAGTCGCCGCCGTCGATGCTGCAGCCAGTCTCGTTGCCTCGGCATCCTGCAGGTGGCGCGCTGCGCGCTGCCGTCACGCTCATTTGATACATATTTGCCTGGGCGACACCTTTCTTGCTTATTATTTATTTCATCATCATCAGCTCACTATACGTCCCCACCGAGGGGCTCGGAGCTTACCCTAAGCTAGGAGGTGACTAGGCCATAGTCAACCACGCTGGGCTACTGCGGGTTGGTTGATTCCACACATATCTTTGAATTTCTTCTCAGATATGTGCAGGTTGCATCACGATGTTTTCCTTCACCGTAAGAACGTCAGATAAATGTACATATGTGAATCGGAAACCGAAAAACACATTGGTACATGGCGGGATTCGAACCCAGGCCCTGCAGATTGCAAGTCAGGTGCTTGACCACTGAGCCACCGACGCTTCACTTATTATTTATTTGGTAATTGGTAAATAATTGAAACTGAGAATTGAAATCGATTCACACGTGTTCTAAAGTCCGAAATCGACGATGACGAGCCATTCGACTATTGGAGTAAACCTAGTCCTAGAACAAACCTTGTTGGAATGGTACAATAAATATTAGTAAATTTACAAAAATCTGCTATTTTAATGATAAAAAAAAACCGCTCTATACAAACGCTACGGTTTTTCAATTCCTTATGATCAATATGTGTAAATAACCGCTTTTTTTCCTAGAAGTAAACAAAGGCATTCAAAAGGTATATACCGAATTCAGGCTGCGGTTGAAGGATGGCGGATGCTTAATGAACAAATAGATTGAGCGGACGTCAGAGCTTTCCTGATCTTATTCTTATCAGTCTTAATATACTATTTTAAATGTATTTGAAGAAAGGAATATGTGATGGCACAAACGTTCATATCGGCGTTAACGCTACTGTTGCTGACAAAGCGGAACCGTATCTTCTCTCGCAGCGTTAGGACGTAGTAGTGCGAGAGGAGGTCTCTCCCGCCGGCCAGGTCGCACAGCCGCAGGCAGCGCCGGCGTTTGAGCACGACGAAGGCATCGCGATTGGCCGCGCAGTTACTGGCGATGCTGTTGGGATACCGGATCACGACCAGCAGGAACAACTCCGGCGACTCCGTCGTAATCTCAACTTCGCAGCCGTAGTCAAAGTCGTTCAGGGTATGGAACACCTTCGAGTATTCAAGGACTTATCAGGATAGGTCTCCGGCCTCATACTTATTTTATTAAATGTGCATGGATTTATACTTAGAAGCGTTTCTTTTACTGGAATGCGATGCATCAAAAGAAAAAACTAGAGTTGCCTTTCTGTCGTCTGTTGCGAATCGGAGTAGATGTGATAATACTGTGGTTGTAGAGTGTAACAGCGGCGCTGATCTCATCAGTCAGTCGGTGGATCAACAGAATACAAGTAGAAAAAGTGTTACACCACTAAAGAACTGCCTACTCGGAATGTGTTTTAGTTATGGTGTTGGGATAGGCTTCATAAGTGATGCTGTGGACTTTAATAAAACTAGTATTGGCTGAATTTGACATAAAATGTCGTACTAAAGTAATAGTGTCTGACATGCCCATGCCGAAGGAGAGGTCGTAGCGTAGGTGGTGTGAGGCGGCGCACTCAGCGCTCACGTCACGGGGTCGGTACAGCAGCAGCAGACCCTCGGGCCGAGCGCGCCCCGCCCACAGCATCGCACACCACAGTACGCACCGCACTACCAAAGCCGGCGTCGTCGCACGCACCATCGCACCTGTCCACTTCGGATCAACCGACGGACGCCGCATCTATGAGGCCGCGGCGTTACGTCACGCTTATACCAAAAATATACTCGATTGCAATCTTACTAACTGCGAATGTTTAGATGGATGTTTGTTTGAAGGTATCTTCAGAACGACTTAACGGATCTCGATTAAATTTGGCATACATGTAGAACATAGTCTGAAAGAACATATGCTACTATTTTTTTTTTATTCCGTGCGGACGGAGTCGCGGGCGTCCGCTAGTACACATATACAATTGTAAAGCTCGTACGTATCCGAGCGTTGGCATATTACTGTTTCACAATACCCAATTTTTGCTTTTTATTAATTATAAAAATCGCACGTTACTTGAGATGCCATCATTGATATGTATTTCATTAGATCCACGTTTTCATAAAAAAAAAACAAATCTTAGAATGTGGCGCCAGCGTCACGTTAACGTAGTGTGAGGATCTATAAAGAGCAGGAAACATTTAGAAAAAATATCAATTTGATATTTGGGTGATACCGTTCTGTGACTTTTTTAATTAAACATTTTAAGATTTAGTAATTGAACTTTTTAAAATTTTTGACGCATATTATTCATCTATTTTACTGTAAAAATAACAATCTGAGAGGATTTTATCACAACTTTAAAGCATCACGAACGTGACAGAAATTTCAGATTTTGAGTTCCACGATACTGACACGTTTATCCACGGTACTGACATGACATAAATTTGGTAGACGTTGATAAAAAAAATGAATTTATTTAAAAATTATGTAGTAACATTTATAAACTCTTGATGAAAAAAAACATTAGAATTAACAAGGTAAAAAAATGTTTAAAAAAAATTGTAGCGACAAAAAAAATTACCAGTCTATCGGTAAATTCTAGAAATGGACATGACACGGTACTGACATTTAAGTGATAAATTGTAAGTTTCCTCAAAGTGGCAAGTTCTATTATATTATACAAAAATAATAATGAAATATGTTTATAATTATCCAACACAAAAATGTCATTATTTGATTATTAATTAATGACCAGTGGGAACAAACAATACAGGACATTAAAATCACAATTGATGGTCTGGATCGCACATTAAAAAAAATGGAAATTGTTGTCCTCCACTCTTTCAATTCTTTTTTTACAGGACAAACTTGATGTCCTTGCATAGACCTAGAGTTTTTTTTGTATTTTATTCTACAGGTAAAAATAATTTGGAGAACAAAATTACATTATGTGTGTATTTAAGATAGGTAGATTAGTTTGACAACTGACGCGTATATTCACGATTAATGTACTTGTTGGACAACAAGAACTATAAACTATCTAGAATCGGTCTTGTGATAATATTAATCGAATAAATACTATAACTCATGAATTTTATTACTTTTTCAATGATTTAACACATTTAGCTGTCTCGCGCAATTAACTAAAAACACATTAAATACAGTTCCTTTATTTCCCAAATTTCTCAATTTTTGATATATTTTATTCTACGTAGTTTTGAAGAATAAAGTTGGCATTAAAAGAAACAATTGCATTTATGTTGTAAATCTAAAACAATAATGGAGAAATTTTCGATTGTAAGTTCTATGAGAACAACCATCGGAAATAAAAAATCACAACACATTTTAATTAACCCATCCGTGAAAGAAAAATGAATTGTCAAACTATCTTAGACACACTATAGTAAATTGTTTTATCTTGGTTTCATACACCAAAATCCCATGTTTAAAATGACAACGTTTTAAGAGAGGATTTTGTTCGTAGAAATTCATTATTTTGGAAATTTGAAAAAGACAAAATCTTTAGTTGCCTGTACCTAAATAACTTTTTTTACTTAGTTTGCATTAAATCAATCAAAATACGGTGGCATTAGTTTTTCAAAGAAAATATCTATTATAAAAGCTAAAAATGATTGAAAATCTGGGCGCGAGGCAGGACGTAACGCAAAGCGCTTCACAGAGCACTTCACATCACTACTTACTTCGTTGCTATTAGTTTCCTAGATGCGGGTAGCACAGGAGAGGCACTGCTGACCGGCATGGCTGAACAAGCAAGCTATTGTAGTTCGATACCCTGGCTGCTCTCAACTTTGTGAGAGTCGCGCGGGGGAAGGTACTGCGCAACGCGCGCCGCTGTCCCTAAGCCCGCCAAAATATTTGGAAAGAGTTATAACTATTTAAATAATGAAAACATTTATTTTTATCACTTTTATTACATAAGAAACCTAAATTTGACAGTGTTCCATTTATTATGTTAATAGCATTCTTATATTGTAAACATTCAAGTTTTCATTTTCAAAAACATGTCACCAAATAATTGCATGCAATTTCTAAACATAAAAAAGAAAAGTAAACGCAGACAGCTTTCTTATATTATTTTTATATTTAACACATCAACTAGGATTAAATCTTCAATACATACAGATGATTTAGCAATTATTTTTTGTGGAAAATATTTCTAGAGTTGTGTGCCTCATTGCTCTTGAAATCATAAAGTAGATGATACAAAATTAATGCCAAAATATATAAAGATTTATTTACTTGATTTTTTTCCATTATAGTTTTTGTTTTGAATCGTGTTCAAATAACGATTACATAAATATAAATGACTACATATCGCGTCAGGGATATTTGTCTTGTCAAGTAAAACATGCTACTTTTTATTGTATTAACAAGAATTCAGAAAATTTTTTAACGATATATCAAGTATTCAAAAAAATACTTAGTAATTCTTAGAAATATACAGAATTAGCATTGTCAAATATATTTTACTCAAGTAAATGATACAAGATTTTCAAGTAAGTTAAAAAGTAATTCATTCGTAACAATTTCACACTATTGATTTTTGTACTTTTTATGGTCAAGTATAAATATATGTAAGTATTTATTGTAAATTAATATAATCATTTATTGGAAACGTTGTTCTAACAACAGATTGTTTGTGGTGTCCCCTTCATATGTCAACTTCAACATTTCTACATGTAAACATTTAAACTATTCATTTTTGTATAAAACATTTCTATTATTTTGTGGTCAATGATAGATAGCATGTCATTTGTATATATAATATAATCAATCAATTAATTAATTAATTAATAGATAGATAGATATAAAGCATTCTTTCTTACATTGTTTCATGTGTACAAAAACAATAACTATTATTTATTCCTAAAAATTATACAGATTTAGCGATCTTATTATTATCATTAACGAGTCTTTTTATAATCAAGTAAGTAAATCATGCAATGCAACTTTTCATTATTACCAAAAACAGATAATTCAATTTTAGTCATAGTCATTTAGTAATATTGAGGTAGTTATTCGTTTCAGAACTTAATACCAATTATAAAATGGTTCTAGAGATAACAGTAAATTCAAAAATAATATGTTGCTGGATTATATCAAAATACAGAGTGAACAGTCACAGAAATAAAAACAATATAAATGTATATTGGACCTTAACACGAGTTCACAAGAGAAGCAACAATAACAGCCCCTCCGTTAGGAAAGAGTCGCCCCTCGTCGCCCTCGGCCGCGCGTGACCCACTGCGTCCCGGCGGCGTCCCGACGGCGTCCGACCCAACGCGGAACAACGGCGGACCGGACGCGAGCCAACAAACAATCCAACATTCATACAAATACAATCAATGTAACATAGCACGAAACAAAACCCATTATTCCAGACGACGCATACACTAGTCGCGATACAGGCGAGGAACTACGTAACGCTAATGGAACCATCATCCGAGCCATAAGAATGACAAAGTAAACACGATATGCGCGCATGATGTGGGGGCACGAGCAGCGGGGCGCAGGGCGCGGGGCCGGGCGGCGGTGTAGTTCAGTCTCGGGCCGCGCGGCGCCCGCACCTCCCAACTTAACGCTACTTCACAACAATACAATAAAAACTAAAACTATTTCAGCATTCTAATACGAATCAAAATTATAGTAGGTACATTGATACTCTCGCTCTCACTTACAACTGGAAGGAATCAACGACGCTCCTATATGTACACCCTTCCTCTCAAGCAGACGATGAGAGCCGCCGCCACACTCCGCCACGCGCCGCCTCACGCCGCTACACACGCCCAGTGGGCCCTGTAGGACGATGCGACAAATAGATATACCAGAGGCGCAACACGCGAAGCGGCTCCGTGTGTCCAGGAAACAAGTAGTTTGGTCAAACAACCGCAGATGATCGAACGTCACTCAGGAATGGAATGTTAAGCGTCACGCACTCGAAACAATGGCATCCGCGCTAAACTTTTTAGCTCAGAGCAATGAAACCTTATTGCATTGCGCGATGCCCCTCCTAATTGCGCTCGATGGATTGGAGCTTTTTTTAAACCACATACACAAAGTCAAATAATCTATTATGAACCATCATGAAACTGAGGTGCAAGCCAAACCAACCCACTTTTCATCGTAATCAATAAAAATACTACTAACGGAACGGTAATAAAAAAAAACAACTGATAACATACAAGTACAATCAGAAGCCGTTAAAAAGACATCGAAGTCATTCAGTATAAGGTAATAAACGATAAGACATTGTAACTGCTAATGGCTTGAAGCCTTGGGAATTCGTTTATCAAAAATGTGCCTTTAAAAATTCCATAAATGTGGTTGCCATTAAATATAAATCAAATATTATTTTAGCCTTTACAGCTACGTAATACGGTAAGAAGGTGGCGCAAATTGTACATTTTACACATATGGGATGTTGCAGTCCTTTGCTTTTGGTTGGTGTAACCGTGCCGACTTACACCATGGTTGCTTACGAACAAGTGCTAATTTATCGTTGTAAAAAGGACTATTGCAGTTTTATTTACAAATATTTATTAACACGTGAAAATGAAAAAAGTGAACTTTTAAAATGATCAGCCATTGCCTGTCTTAATATTACATTAATAATAGAAAATTCAAGCACTTAAAATTCATTTGGTATCTTTTGTGTTCGGAAAATCATACCACAAGAAAACGTTATTTAAGATATATTCGGATAGTAAGTTAATTTCGACAACGTACACTTAATCTTAATCCCTCTCCTAGACAAATATCTGACTTGGCACAATCGTAACATGCAACTCGCGTGTACGTTTTGACACAAGGCGCCGTCGCGGCGACAATATCGGACAATCAAAAGTTAGCGACGGTTAATATAAAAAAAGAACACATCGTCGCTTACCTAGTAAACAGGTAGCACGTGAACAAAATCGCACTTATACCAAAAACATCGATCCGGAGATAGCTCGGTGGGAGGCTTTGGAAGGTGGGGGGGAAGAGTTTGAGTCGCCTCAGTCGCCCCGCCCATTTCACAGCAACGGAGTGCAACAATGTCAATGCATAAATAACAAAGAGCGTGGCTTGCAGGTCATGTGCGTCATGTGGATCCTGTGACTGCTGCAACAGTGGTTGACGCTGCCCTTCCGCCCCGCGATATGATGCGCCGGCAGACGGTCAACAAAAACAACAATCAACAATTCACGGTAAAATTCATATACAGGCTATATCTACAATATCGTAAATAAAAATAGTGTATATGAATATTTATACAGCAAGTATACATATAATCATCAAATTATCAACATGTCATAATATTAAAACGGTTATCCGGCATAAAATATGGTAAAATACGTAAATATGGTAAAATACTTTACAATGTGGTAAAATTCATTAAAATATGGTAAAATACAAGTATTTCATATTACAATTAAAATTCACTACATTTAATATAATTTAGGTAAATAGACAACAACATGTTTTACGTCACGAGTTATGATCTTAGATGCAGATGCAGATGCAGATGCAATGCGATGCGATGCGATGCGATGCGTGCGATATGATACCAGGCCACCAACGTATATGTGTTTGTGTATGCCAATGTATGGGGGAGTAGGGTGTGTGTGTGTGTGTGTGTGTGTGTGAAGAGGGGGTGGCAACGTGACAGTGTCGATGGTGGAGGCGGAGGAGGCGGAGGAGGCGGAGGAGGCGGAGGAGGCGGAGGA